AGGCGGCGCGCGGGGAGGGGAGTAGGCGGCCCGCGCCGTGGCCTGGCTAGGGGATTCCGAGTTGCCGTTACTTCTCCGCCCGCGGGAGTAGGGGCGGTGGGAGGCCGCCGGGACCCACGAGGCTTCCGCTTCCTCCGCAAGGTCCGTAAGGGTTCCTGATCCATCCATTCAACAAACGTCCACCGAGTGATCGTGTGCTCCGAGGCCCGAGGGGACCGCGGGGAACATACAGAACCCACTAGGTCTCAGCGGTCAGGGTTCGCAGCGTAGTCAGGGGGACAAGACCAGTGGGGAGGCCTTCACAATCCCGGTGCTGTGAGGCCTGGTTCACCAAGGATACCTCGGCACCCGCAGAGCACACGCGGGCGGGGAGCACCGGGAGGATTCCTGGAGGAGGTGATGTGGTTGGTGCAGCAGCGTAGAAGTGCCAGTTAGGCTTTGCGGGGCGGGGGAGTGAGGGGGGCGAGAGAGGAAGATGAATGAGACTGCAGGGGGCGGGGATGGATGGAGGGCTTGCCTTTTATCCTCAGCCTTAGGGGTAAAAGTAACTGAAGAGGGAGGGGCTTAGACTTGCATTTTAAGAAGAACCCTTGGCTCCTCTGTGTAGAATAGACTGGAGACGGCAACCCGAAGCCAAGGATATCCCTCATGTGGCTGTCGAGAGATGAGGGCAGTGGGCATGAAGATCAAAGACCAAATTGAGAACTATTCAGGATGCAGAATTGAAGAGGTTGACAAGATTTGAGGACTGGCTGACCATTGAGGGAGGAGGGGTGTAGGATGACTGCAGGGTTTAGCTTAGCGTGGAGCCCTGGAGGTGGTGCCAGCAGTGATGAGGGAATGAGAGGGATGAGATCAGACTTGGAGGTGGTGAGCTGGAAGTGGAGGCAGGCCAGCCGGGGGAGATAATGTAAAAATCAACAATTAGCTACCACACTGTGATAGCTTAGGGGGTGCAAGGCACTGTGCTAAGCCCTTTTCTCAGATCGTCACCCTCACGATAAAAATGAGGTAGATGTTCCTATTACCCCCCAATCCGAAGAGGGAAAAACAGACTTAGAGGAATGAACATGGTTCATTAAGAGCAAGTGGTGAGGTTGCATAGGGGTCCAGAGCTCAAAGGAGAGGGGTGTAGTCTGTAGGAATGGGAACAGAGCTCCCCACTGGCCCACCAATCTCTGCAGTCCCAGGTCTCCAAGGGGCTGTGGGAGGTAGCATGTTGAACCATAGTCTTGGGACTGTGAATGAGGACAGAATAACCTTTAGTGGCTAAAGGTATCCATGGAGATCTATGGGAGTTTTGGGGTCTCTGGCTATCTTCAGAATCTGCTGGCAGCCATGGGGTACTGGCTAGATTGTGGAGATCTGGGGGTGGGGGATGACTCTGAGTAACAGCCTATCGGGGATGTGTCTAGGGTCTTTATAGAGGACATGGTTTGCCAGGCATCTGGTAAGATCTAGGTGGTAGGCTGGACGTGGGGGATTGATTATAAGCCCCTATAGGAAGTAGGGAAATGATGGGTATGTAATGTCAGCATGGAGGGGTGGGTAGGTTCTGTAAGAGGGTATCTGCTAGGCTGTAGGACCTGGGAGGACCCTCTGTCCTAGTGATGCCTAAGTGTCTGGGAGTTGAGAAAACTTTCGTGATTTCCCTTCCATATGGCAAGTGTTGGGGTTGTAGTAAACCTGCCCAAGCTCCTAAGATCTAGGCAGGTGATAGAGCAGGTTGAGGTAACAAGCCTCATTTAGGTCTGCCCATAGCCACTTGACAGCCCCAAACATGGACATACCTCATGGGTGAGCCATATTTCAGGCCTGAGAAACAGCAAAGCCACACAACACCTCCAGGCCCACATCAAACTTACTTAGGCTGAGACACGGGGCTGATATTTGGCCCACCTTTTGGAACATATGATGTGCAGGCCCCTCCCCTAACACACAGGACAGAAGAGGGTAGCGGGACCCTACCTTGGATGCTCAGCCCATCAGAGCAGAAGCCCTCACCACACCCCCATGTCTGCCTCCCCACCCACAGAGATCCAGCCACTTTACTTCTTGGGACTTCTTGGCTAGGTTTCCTGAGCAGGGCCTCAGTGACCTCTAACTCTGGAGCCATAACCTGTGAACTTGTGGTTTGGTGGTCTCTGATCTTGGGATTCTGCCACTTGGATCTGTCTCCCAGAAGTGTTCCAAGGATGATCTACTTGGAGAAAATGTCTTGACAGGCATGGTCACCATCCTAGGTTTCCAGGTGACCCTCAGGTTTCCTGGTGGCAGGACTTGGACGGGTTCTATATGGCCTTGAGGTATAGAACTAGGATCCTTGAGAAACTATGGGAAGCCAGAATTTGGCTTGACATGAGAGACTTGTGTGATGGAGCCATCAACAAGGGAGTGGCTGCCTCAAGAGTTGACTGCCACTGGAAGTTCTTATAGAGGGCACTTATCTTGGGGGCTGTCAGGGACCCACCAAGGTGACCTTGAAGAACTCTGATGTTGGATCTTCCATTCCTTAGGGCAAAGGGGAATGTGAGAATCTCCTTGGGGGCCAGGATACCGAACACAAGTGCCTTGTGCTTCAGTTCTCACACATATACACACCAGCACCCAGAGCGAGGAGAGACTGGTACTGGGAATGGCCTCTCTGGGACTTCACCATGGCTTTTCCCTGGAACCCTGGCATCTGGATTCCCAGACCCAAATGTATCAGAGCCAGTGAGTTAGCAACCAGACCTGCTGGCACAGAGCAAGGGATTCAAACTATTTAAGGCCTCTCCAGTGGCCCCCTGGAGAGATTCTCTAGGACAGCAGATTTTCTGGGACCCTGGGGACAGAACTGCTGACATGTCACCTCTCACCCCCAGCTGCCATCTCCTGGAAACCTTAGATCCTTTGTGTACCTCCTATAGTGTGCTTTGTGAGAGGAGGGGCTGGGTATTCCCATCAGGTTAGAGGACTTCTCAGCCAAGGAACTTGAGGTTCACCTCACCATGTCTAACACATCCTCAAATTCCATCAGAGGCTTGTAAAAAGAGGAATGCGATGCAGGTAGGGAACTATCTGGAAACTCCAGCCCTGCCCAGTTGAAATGGATAAAAAAGCATAGTGTTGATGGGAACAACAGTAGCAGAAAGGGAGTGTGCTGGAACCTGGGACAAGGGATTTCCCTATAAAGATCCTCAGGAACAGAGTGGCACTGGTGGGAGGGGACCACTCGGCACAGACTGGAATCCCTGCCCCTCCCCCATCCTCCTGCGAATCAAGAAACCAGGCAGCAAGGCTCTGGGGGCCGCTTTTATGGGGATGACCTGACAGAGGGCATGGTCCGTACAAAACCGGGAACAATACATACATATATATATTATATACAGAGACGCAGTCCTGCAGAGGGCGGGGCAGAGGCGGCAACCAGCCCGAGAAACCGGAAGCGCCCCCGTGGTCCCGCCCACCTGGCCCCGCCCCTCCATCTGCCCGGGTGGAGGTGAAGTGCTGGGGCCTGGGCGCTGAGACAGCCAGCTCTTTCAGGGGGTAGGGAGACGTCTGGGGACAGGAAAAGGGGGGTGGGGTGGGCGAGAAATACTGATCGATGGCATGGTCTATTTACAGGGGACGAGAAGCCAAACGGATGGGACAGGGATGTCTGTTTAAAAAAATGAACAAAAAACCCAGGCTGGGGCAGGAGCGTGAGGAAGGGACAAAATGAGAGATGGTTTCTGAAAGAGGAGGGGACCCGACTCCCTGCCTCGCCGGCCTCAGCCATGCTGCCCTGGCTAAACCTTTAGAATTCACTGCCCATCTGGTTCTCACCTTCCCATCTCCATACCACAGAATTCCCTTTTTCCATTCTCAGCCCATGTTTCCTCGGCTAGAATCCCTCAGAGCCCGTGGGAATGCAAAGTCAGAACATACACCTCCCTTGGTCCAAGCCCCAATTTGGGGTTAAAGTGGGAAGAGTCGATTTCACTTAGAAAGCAGGCTGTCAACAGGGCAGCCCTGGTCTCCAAAAAGATGAGTAGTAAAATTTTGCCCTCCAGTCAAAACATTGGAAAACCGTGGGTGTGGGTGTGGGTGTGGGTGGGGTGAGGCTGAATCTCTGTGGTGTTAGTACAAGGCTTCCAGGTGTAGCCCTGGACAGGGCAGGGCAGAGCCTAACTCTCAGTGAGAAATGTTCCCCTTGCCTAAAACCTAAAACCAGGGTTTCTGCAACCAGGCCCCCAAGCCAGCATCCTCTCCTCCCTGACATTCCCAGGCTTGGCCAGGAAGCTCAACCCCAGAGAGGCCACAGAACAGTTCCAAGAAGAGGTTATGGCTATTTGGCACCAGGGAATGGCGGGGGAGAGGGGAGGCGCAAGGAGAAATTGAGGGCTGCTGCCTCCCTTTTCCTATTTTCACTCCCCTTTTCCCGAAGGATACATGAGAAATCAGTGCAGGGCCCGGCCCAGCCTCCAGGCTCTGGGGTGGACTCTATCCCTCCGGGGAGGGGGGATGGGGATGGGAGGAGGTGTGGAGGCAACCCCTCCCAGCAGGAGGGTCAGAATGCAACAGAGACAGCACAAAGATGGGGGAGGGAGAAGGGCCAAGAAGGTAGAATCTCAAGTCAAGAAGCCCAAGGGCCACCCAGGGACCCAGTGGGCGGGGAGCAGCCTCCAGGTGGTGAGATGCTGGGAGAGCCCCCAGCCCCATTCCAGTCCAGAGACAAAGGC